ATTATTATAATGTATACTGTACATATCAGGTATAGGGCTCTACAATAGGATGGTCAATCTATAACGGAGGTATGATTTAGGAAAAGGATTACACCTAACCACGGAAGGGTCCTATTCTACAACAGAAAGTGTATACATAAGGTGTAGAGGTCACATTTAACAACAGAAAGTGTGTACATAAGGTGTAGAGGTCACATTTAACAACAGAAAGTGTGTACATAAGGTGTAGAGGTCACATTTAACAACAGAAGGTATGGGATAACACTCTGCAATAGGAGGTCATTCTCTTAACGGGAGGTTTGTATAAGGTGTGAAGGTCACACTCTACACCAGTGGTAGTAGGTACATTACAGAGGTCAAAACCTACAAAGGGAGGTATCACTTTACGACGGGAGGTCACTCTTCAAAACGGGAAAGTTATATAAGGTGTAAAGGTCATGTTTTACAACGGGAGGGTCACATCTACAACGGGAGGTATATATAAGGTGTACAGGTCACACTCTACATCGAGAAAGTCACATTCTACAACGGGAGGTACATATAAGGTTTAAAGATCACACTCTACAACGAGAAGGTCACACTCTACAACGGGAGGTACATATAAGTAGTGAAGGTCACACTCTACAGCTGAAGGTATATATAAGATGTGAAGGTCACACTCTACAAAAGGAGGTACATAAAAGGTTTGAAGGTCACACTCTACAGCGGAAGGTATATATAAGGTATAAAGGTTACACTCTATAACGAGAAGGTCACGCTCTTCAACAAGAAGGTCACAATCTACGACGGAGGTATATATAAGGTGTGAAGGTCACACTCTTCAACGGGAGGTTTATCAAAGGCATGAAGGTCACACCTTATCACGAGAAGGTCACGCTCTCCAACACGCGGAGGGGTATATATATTAGGTATAGGGTCACACTCTACAACAGAAGGTATATATAAGATGTGAAGGTCACACTCTACAACGAGAAGGTCACACTCTTCAACACGCGGAGGGGTATATATATTAGGTATAGGGTCACACTCTACAATTGCATAAATAAATGAGGAATAGTGTCAATTTACACGTATTGTCATCTTTGGATGAGACCAATCTAGATACACTATATCATTAAATGATTGAGTCCCTTTGAGCTCTTAAAATTCTGAGCATATTTGGGGTTTTTTCAGTTTCTTGTTTTCACATCGAACATGTAGGTATTTTATATGATATTTACAATGACATTGTCACTAGATAACCTACATGGTGTACTTGAAAGTTGTGCCGTTGTTGGGACTTTAAATGACATGCACCGCCAGACGAAATTCTTGGCCAATCAGCACGCGACAATAAGCTTTCAAAGATATGAAAAAATTGGTTCAGATTGTCGATGAGGCGGGATAAAGTTTGAAAAAAACACCGTGAAAGGCGGAGAAAACGTAAAAATAAACATTGAATTGTTTTTGTATGGCATTAATGATCTAGGTTAATGATACAAAACAGTATGCTGTTTGGTTGCAAAGACGTGTCATTCAAATAGATCATAAATGCCATAAAAAAAACAGTTCAATGTTTAACCGATGGCAATGAATTCCTCTTTGTAGAAACATTTAATATATTAATGTAAGTGCAATACAGACGATGATATAAGAACATCTGGAATGTGATGACAGCTTCGTCAAGATGTAATTTGTCACAGTTGTAAGCACTTGACATGCCTATTTTCTACTATGGCCGAAGGCGGTCAGGCTTTGTTTAAACATAATGTTTCGTTTATGTACAATGGTACATTTTTGTGTGATACACAAACGAAGCATGAAGAATTTCGCGTTTGTTTACACTTTGGCGGACTTCAAAAGTGACGTCATTGCTCGATGCAACCAAGGCGGTTGGTATGTAAGCCGCCGGATTCAGAATTATATTAGACATTTAGACTTCTAAAATATATATACCAAACACAAATGTATAGAATAGTCAGGAGTTGGTGTAGCTGGCAGCAGCTCAGTACCTCACTTCCGGTCCAGACTTGGTGCTACTATACGACTAGTGTTAGGCTAAGGCAAACATTAGGCCTTGAAGCCGTCTTATACAAATTACATTTATACATTAAGTACATGTAGGATAGACGGCTCCTTCTCTCCCGTGTCACCCTTTTATATTACTTACTACATAGTTTATCCCTTCTACTCATTTTCCCGTCTTTTCTTTGTCTGCACGATAACCGAACTACTCGGTAGTAAAAAGGACGTAAAACCAACCAATCAATCAATCAGCATGTTGACTGACATCGAGCAGTTCAGACGGTCACTGACTTACGCTCTACAAACCAGATCCACACATCAGAAATGTCGTCAAAACCACTGGTAGGCATTTCACACTAGTGCAATAATTATCATTGCCGATGTTTTTGGGTATTTGAGGTACTAACGGTATTTGTTTACCTTTGCAATCATAATGGGTGTGATGCATGATGAGATACTCCCAGAAGCAGATGATATAACCGTAGAGGGAAAAACTCACTTCAAAAACTAATCATGTAGAGATTCACAATCCAAGGGAAGCAACTCGAGCTAAGGATACTTATCATCACATTTTAAAGACAAAATGTTAATCAGTGAAGTTGTTTGTTATATAAATTTTTTCCCGTTCACAACATCTAGGTATTCGTTTCTCAGCTGTGTATTTTAGCTACACCTGGAAAGTGGTTCTTCTAAAACAAGACACCTGTTTCAATTCATTGACAAGTTGTGATCATATATTATAATAATGTATATCATTCTACTGTGGATATTCATAATATTTTCTACTGATATTATAACTCAGTCAGCTATTTACTAGTATGGTTATTTGAGGGGTTATGTATCCCGATCTACACAATAACTCGTTCAGAACAGGTCATTCGTACAAACAATTTAAGTGTACGTGCGGGTGAGTGACTGGATTGACGATCGCTGTATATCAAGTGTATATGGCGGAAGTGCACTGCATACATGTATGTTCCCGTGTCAAGGTGTATTTTGTTCATTACAACTCAGTCCGTGAAGAATTGCAATGAAATACAATTTAATTTAGATATTCGTGTGTATTGATGATATAATATATGTATTTTTATATGAATTCTGATTATTTACTTGTTTTTTCTTAAACATATATATAACAAGGAATCTCTGAGTATAAAGCACGCGCATGAATGTAGGCTTGGCACGTGATCACGTTCACCAATGGTATTGCTCGTAAACATGTTTAGCCAATCAGAGCTGGTGACGGACAAAGAAATCTCATTCGCAATAGTCACATTCTACATTTAGGCGCGAGTAGAGCTGGACGTGGTAAGTGTAATTGCCTTTTCTTCTTGCATTTTTTCATATTCTGTGTTTTATGTTAAGCATTTAAGATTATTTGGGAGCCTTGACATATAACTGTAGCATAGTGTTGGCGATTGTGATATCGCTGTTGATTTGAGCTCAGCATTAGACGTTTATATCGGTCCGATGAGGTTTGAATTGATCGGACAATAGTTTGTACGACATTGATTTGGCTCCTGACGAAATCATAAATCAGTTCTGTTTATTTATACCCTATTTTGTTCATCTGCTACACTAGCATTAGGGTTTTTGATTGGAAGAATTGAGTTATGTTAGGAGACTCCGGCTACCCCTGCTGACCTTTCCTTTTAACCCCTTACCTTTACAGTTTTGGCAGAATTAAGCTACACCAGTAGTGACGATTTTTGTGTAAACGCTCTTCAGTTATTACAACCGACAATCATCAGATCTTCCCTAAAGAAATCAAGTAACTCCGGCTAGATAATGTCCCCAATTGTAGTTCGTCTACATGTTCAATCTCTTGTTTGACTTGTGTTCTTCCATTAAGGATTAAGTATCATGATTAAATATCATTCTAAGAAACAGTGAACTGCAACGCTATCCACGACTAGTTATATTGATGAGTTAGTACCACGACCCGTGGAGCTACCTCGTAGCTACTCCAACGACCATTTATTGGACTGACTTGACATTCAGAACTGGTCCAACGGCAAGTCATGTGACCAGTAATTGAGATCATACGACTGGTCTTACATCACTCATGATGCTGTCGTCGTAGGTCACCACGATGGCACCATGTGGGACGTAAGAGCAGTCAAATGGAGAAACAGAACGATACAAACGCACCTTTTTCCCGTTATCGAAACTTGATCTTTCCATTTTTCTTTGTATGTAAAGTTTATTTCTTTTAATTCTGGGATACCAATTTCTTTTGTTTTATATTTATAATAACAGAATAAATATTAATATGAAAGAATATAAGACTCTTTCATGTCCAGGGGTGTATGATCATCGAAGATAGAAATTTCTAACACCCATTTCTTACCCTGGACAGTTACACAATCGATTGTGTGGAAGTGTATGTAGGTACTTTTTACTATATATATATCAATCAGTTAAGGTGTATTTTGTGTAGGTCACCGCCATACTAGCTCCGTATGATGGTTTATCCTTGATTAAGTACCGCCAATTCCTGTTACCCCGACTCGACATTATTTATAGGCTATCACAGTTTGGAGATTATGTATGATTAATGCATTAACACAGGGTTGCCTTATCTAGGTATATATCAAGGTCAGCTATGGGCTATCGTATATACGTATATCTGTCAGATATGAACCAACATACGAAAGCAAATGTCCAGATCAAATATGGGACACTATATGAATGTATTTTTATTTCCTATATTGATGACTGACAATCAACACATGTAGATACATTTTGTATTATTAACTGACATTCTAACGTTAGTTTGTACCTTTTGCTTTACTATCTTATGTAGTCGAGTGTATCTATATAGCATTGAGGGGTCACCGTACATTGGTTCACCTTTTGACTATGTCACATGTCTGTATACTTTAAAGGCCATTGTATGTGTGTAGGTATATATGTGCCAAAACGTAGGCATCTCACTAGAAAAAACAAAACACGAAATATATCTTCCATAACATTGTTGGTGTCGTCCAAAGAACATGTGGATTAATCTGTTTTCTCTAGAATTCATTGGCACGTTCGTAACAATATTTCTGTGTATTGTTGGGACCGCGGCCTGGTATTTGCACCAGCAACATCTCAAGTATGACCATATACCTGGACCTCCGCGAGACAGGTGAGTGCCACAATCTAAACAGGACATGACAGTGAAACTTTCACAAACTCACCATGTACAGCAAAACATGAAAGAATCTCCGAGGAAGAGGTAACGTAATTTAAGGCAATGACTAACTGTCACATACCACCAACGAACCGATGTAGGTACCTGGGGGAGAAATGGCCATAACTGAAGATGCCGGATTGTCCTCCTGCTTTTTAGATATATAACAAGCCCAAATTGTAAAGCATTTCACATGGTATTACATTAATAAACAGCTTGGTCTTTATATAGATGTGCTTCATTGAACACAATACTAAATGTCAGGTAAGCAGAACATATAGAGGATAGAGTCGACCAGTATTAAGGCTGCTGCCTATCCATGCATAAATATATTTAGTAGTGTTTGTATGGAAACGTCAACACGCTTTACTCATCGGGTTAATGACAAGGGTTGAGAGTTGTGACATATATATAATCTTAACTATATACTGTAGTACTTGTATCAAAATGGTGATGCATTGTAGTCATATATATATATAAGGATCATTTTTCTGATTTATAATATATATATATATAATAAAACAAAAGACAGAGATAGCGTCTCTAGGCCTTTCTCGGGTTGATTCCCTGTTCATCAGGAAACTGTGTTTATTTTGAAAACAGGCATTGTCAGGTCATAGTTGTTTACACGGGAAAGTATGACGTCATCAATAATGCAAAGTAATTATGACGTCACACATAAATCCATGACGTCAACAACAATACAAGCTAAATTGTGACGTCACCATACTTAGACAAATGCATAACTTTATGATCTTACCAACAATAAAAAATACGGGAGATACAAATTGTTTCATTTACGGCAACAATAAAATATGAACAAAAATATTTAAAGCACAGCAATTGCTTAAAGCATGACACGTTGAATTTAATGTGAACTATTCAGACTGGGTATATATATATACATTTAACAGGAAAATGACTGATACATGTATGTTCATTGACATATTACTGACAGTAAATGTTACCACAGGGACAGAGAGAAAGACAGACAGCGAAAAAGACACAGAGGCTGACGGACAGGAAGAGACAGAAAAAGGGACACAGACAGATAGAGAGAAAGTGAGACACAGACTGAGACAAAGAAAGAGATACAGATAGATAAAATGGTTAACAATTACATGTATGTTCTTTTGCAGTTTCTGGAGTGGCCATCTTCAATCGATCCAGAAAGTGGTTTCGAAAGGTGGCATTTTCGATGACTACATTCTGGAACTGTAAGCTTATGAATAATTTGGTATTTGTATCAATGACATTTTTTTTATAAACAAATAAGGGTTTTTTTCATCTGAACAATCATATGCAATTTTATATGATGGAGTTACAGGATTGTGAAGCGATATTGATATCAGAAATAATATTGAATAATCTCCATTGGCTTTATGTTCGATAAATGTATTTGAAAATCATTTTGATTACTGCCGTTTATATTGAGCATGTAAGTTTGCATTTCCATTATAATTTCAGAACCGAAACATACGGAATGATATTCCGGATTTATATGTGGCATCAGACGTTTGTCATTGTTTCCGACCCTGAGCTTGTCAAGGTACATGTATGCAAAAATAGCTATGATTTAAAGCGATATCAGAAACATTTTGAATTTGAATAGAATAACGTTATGTCAGTAGTTGTTTACACTATTATCTTATATTTGCTATGTAAATATTACTTGAATATATTTTCTGATTGGTATACACCGTATACGGTCCTTCAAGCAATAATCTGACATATGGAATACGAGATTAATTAGTATAAGAGTCATATTTATGTATAAGTAGATCTAGTATTTAGTGAACATTGACCTGACAGATATAAGACAACCAATGTGCAGTTTACCGCGGCACTTATCGGTCAAATTCTGCGTGATTTTGCCATACTTATAACGAATAATATGTTGATTGTACATCAACATTCGTCAATTGTAACAACAACTAAACTGTCTATGATAATATGATTAACCATTTAAAACACCGGGGGCAGGAATGTTATCATTGTCCTGCTAGTGAATATTATTTTTCCACTTCTACAAATTGTTCCTATCGAGCAAAGTTTCTGTTTACTTTCACACGCAACAAAACACAAACATCCGAAGAAACCGTTTTGTTAATCCTTCAAACAATCGGTGCTAGAAAGCACTACTCCAGATGTTTGAAATACTATGTTCAGCAGTCCTTTCAAATTACTGGGTGGCCAATGGCTAATAATTTGAAGATTGCATATATATCTGGTTAATAATATCAACAAGATAATTTGACAGTTTTTTCCATACACAAGTATTGCATGTACATAGCAATTGTTATGTTAGTTATTCTTCAAGATATTACTTGACGTCTGTAATGTAGAAATATTCTCAGAGATTACTTGACAACTGTTGGGTAGTTATTTTCGAAAAGATTACTTGAAGTTTGTTATGCAAGTTTATTTTTCAAAAGATTACTTGACGATCGCTATGGTATTTATTCTTTGAGATATTACCCGACGTTTGTTTGTTAAGTGAGTAATATTCCACGACATTACTTGACGCTTGTTAAATGGGTAATATTTCAAGTAATTACTCGACGTTTGTCATGTGAGTAATATTCCAAGAGATTAAATATCGATTGTTATGTGAGTAATATTCCGAGAAATAACTGTTAAACAATTGTTATAAATATAATACTCCATGAAATATTTGCAAATTATAACTATGTGTGTAGTGCTTACGTGAGTTATGCTTCAAGGGGTTACTTGACAGTTGTATAATTTCAGGATACTAATTGACGACTGTTTTGTCATTCTACAAGTGAGGACGTGGCGATTGTTACTCGTGTAGAATAGCAAGCGTATTACTGAAAATTGTTACACATCAGGCGGAATTCACGGCCTAGATTTATAATTTCAGAATGTCCTTGTGACCGGAAATTATCCAAAATCTAAAGCGATATACTCCAGGTTAACACATTTGTTTGGGACAAGGTACGTAATACGGGACCGTTTTGCAAATATTCCTTACATATAGAGCATTACAAATAAATAACATTGTACGATTTGTTAAAACTCGATTTCATTCTTTATTCAGTAGTTTTAATAAGTTATAATAATAGATGCTGGCGTCATTCTTCTTTTTTTTTTCTCTGACTTTGTTTCTCAATTTTGCATTGTTAAATTCTGATTTTTCAAATGAGTATTCATTAACGTTAAGGCCTCAGCATCATTCATTATCAAGAAATAATTAAATCTTGCTTTTACCAAACGTTTTCATTGGCCTAAAAAGTTATGTTATCCTCCCATAACGTAAAGAATTACGTCGCCATTTGTAACGTCACTTTTGATTGGCTGATACAGCGGCGTAATGATTTCTAACAGAAAAAGTGTCCATCAATAAAAGTTGATTTCCACAGGATTAACTTGAATTTATTTTTTATGTTATGGAGCTATAACACAAAAAAACGGAGTGTACTCTCATCATCAATCGCTTCGAACACTCCGTTTTTTTGTGTTATATCTCCATAACATAAAAAATATATTCAAGTTAATCCTTAAGAAAGATTCAACATAGAGCAGATTTGAAAGTACCTTACCTTACATATAACAGATAAGAAAAATAAAAACTGATTTTTGTCTGATTTAACTTAACTTTCCTTTTTCTAGTTATAAATATCTCAAAGGTCTCCGTGGAAACTGTACACTTAGCAGACGAATTATCGCCATGCTTTAATAAAGTTCCTTTTTACTATTGATACAATATTAAAATATTGTTTTAAAGGCAGCAACAATCAACATTGTCTAACTAATAATGTTTACTGGAAAAATTTCGCCCAGTCTAACTTTCGCCCTTCGCCCATGAAATCAGTTTTTGCTTAGTGTTAGTTTCGCTCTTCATATTCACTTACTATGTTTATTATACTGTTTACTTATATTCTCTGCAATTATAAATTGGCCTTCATTGCGGATGACAAAATATTTATCGGCTGCGAACATTTTCCAGTATACAGTATTAGCATGTTTCAATATTTCAAACTGATACAATTTCGCCATTTTTTGTCTCCAACATTGCTGATACAATTTCATTATCTAACATAGGATTATGTATGACTATTGCACAATATTTGACATTTCTTGTGTTTCACTTCTAGTTATAAATATTAACGAATGCGATGTTTTTATTATGACGAGTTTTGTGTTACAGATATGTCGGGAACGGACTTGAAAGTGAAGTTGATCAAACAGTTTGGATAGTCCAACGTATGCATTTCAATCACTGGTTTAAACCACAGTAAGTCATGTACAATGTACACCGTCCTTTTCATATTCCGATGTTTTTTCTATCCGTCATGTTTATAAATAGCAAATGCAAATCGTAATAAAGGCTTACAAGGTCTTCATGTGTTATTATGTTTGGCTTTACTTTTTGTGTTTATATTGTGCAGTCTAATCCTGTATATTGACAATTGCACATGTGAATTTCTAAGAAATATCACTCACTGTCAGTGGTTAAGACGAAAATTCTGTTTTTAATCCATACAAAGCAACGTGGTATCAATTACTATATGATGAAAGTAAAATGATATATTTGATTTATGCTACAGAGTGTATGAGTTATTATTTACTTGATATATAAAGGTTTACATCAAAGACGAAGGAAAGTGTCGTAGATGAAGCAGAAAATGCTAACCTTTCCCGAACATCTGGTCTTAAACGTTTTCATACATCACCTTACAATTTTTCATTGTTAATATTTTGTTAATAAATTTATCGATTTTGAGTTTGAATTACGATAATTATATTCATTGTATATATATAGATAAGTAATCGAATTATTTTGTTTTGGAATACAAGGTTTATCTGTTTTGTCTATTTTATTTACAATATAAGCTTTATAAGTGTATATTTACAGAACATTATCAGTTAGAAACACATTTGTGAATTGCTGGTATCTAATACATGTAAGTTAACAGCAGTTCACAATTATGCTTTTGGTATAACAACAAATAAATATACTAAGCTGGTTACAAATGTACAATATTTTATAGTAATCTACGTCAATTCACTCCGGACTTCAATGAGTATGCCGACAGTCTTGTACACCAGCTGGGAAAGTATGCGGACGGGAAAACGCATACGCCCATGGAGGAATTGTTTCACAAAGTTACACTTCACCTGATGTGTAAGGTAACGCCTTACATTCAAGCTTAAAACGTATGTGATATTTGGTGTGGAATCGGTATAGGGGTCCTATGTGAATAACTCTTACGAGTGTGCTCCTTTTGAATTGTCGTGGTTGGTGTAAAAGTGTTTGGAAGTTAAGCGGTAACAAACGAAATCATCAATACATCAGGTAACAAGATGTTCTTCTTTGCAGGTTACGTTTAACTTTGATCTTGGAACACTAGACAGTCCATCTCATCCTTTTGCATATTATTTGGGATTTACATTAGCTGCATTTTCAAAACAGATGATGAACCCATTGTTCAGTGTAAGTAAATGGTTTTACGTAGGCACCCATGATGAAACCTGGTTGTTATGTTATCCAGTAAAAAGTTATCGTATCATCATTATTTTTTTGTTTTCATTTTCTTGGGTACAGAATATTTCATCAGAATTAATTTATATTTAGTTCTAGCATATGTTGATAATAAATTAAATATCGGATTGAACAAGAGGCAAAGCGTTAATAGCCGTTTAATACATGTATTTTGAAATTCATATTTTATATCATTGATACAAAAAGGAAAACATCTGATGTGATATATGAATTATGCTGTCAGATTCGATGTTAATTTTCAATGTTGCTATAATAAAATATTATGTAGTTAATATTAGCAATTATTATATTAATAATGTCGGACTATTTTTAGATGAACCCCTTTAAGTGGAAATATTGTCTTCAAGTTCGCAATGCAGTAGCAAAGCTCAGGTTGTATGCAAAAGAACGGATAGCGGAGAGAAGAAACGAGAAACAGAGAGGAGTCCATGTTCCTCATGACTTGCTTCAAAGCATCCTTGAGCTGAAAGGTAATTTCTACTCATTATGAAACCGTCACTGTGAGAGATACCAATGTCTTCCGTGTGTGTTGATTTTATAATATATTCATGACTATAACCTATCCCATGAACTCATATGGAGGTATATTGTGGATAAAATAAAACAATATAACTTCAAACCAGGAAACGAAATGACATTTACCTGAGTATATAAATGACCAAATAATTTAAATAATCCATTTTAGATAAGCTTTCATTAAGGAAGTCCTTAATTAAATAGTATATCATAATTGGCCATAAAAAAAAAATCAAAACGTTTATTTACAGAGCAAAACCCGTCACAGATAACAGAGGAAATTTTGTTAGACCATTTCGTCTCATTCCTCATAGGAGGTATGTATGCAATGCGTTGAACACATTTATCCTAAGTTACTGACTATAAATTGTCATATAACATGATTATACTGAAGAGATTCGATAAGTCCCATACATCTTTAACACTAACCGATCACTAAGAGTTGTCTGAGTGCTAACAATACTTTTTTTGCACTTTTCACATATGTCTTTTCTGGAATTCCTTCTATGAATATTCCATGTTATCAAACGATTAAGGGTGTTCAGATATGACAGCAATTCCTGGTTGTTATCAAAATATTCGGAAAAAAGTACACGAATTGTCCGAAATATTGAAAAAAACACTACAATAATAATTTAGTAAAACCATGTTTATTTTGTTTGTTTGTGTTTTTCGTCTATTATCAAAAAATGGGGTGTTACGGTAAAATGTATTTATTGCGAAATCAATACCCGGAAGTAGCCCAGTACCTGTTTACATCGTATTTCCCCATAAGTACACTAGTATAATAAATTATCATTAGCATATGGTAATTTTGTTCGCTTATTTTTACAGGACAGGAAACTACAGCCAATACTCTAAGTTTCATGGTTTTCCTCTTGGCACAGAATCCAGCATGTTACAAAAAGTATTTTATATTTACAGAAAATATCTACAAAACAATTTCTTGTGGTGAAAGTATCTATTGAGGAAGATATTATTCTTGATTAACAAATAACATAAATGTTGCAATTCCATTTTATCTAATTACTTAGATTATATAAATTAAACATGAAATGACCGTGTAACACCAATACACAAAAAACGTAAGTATCATTTTATTACACGTCGAAAGTTTTGTTTTGTTATGAGTCCTTGTTATCAGTAGAAAGGACAGTTTTAAACATTTATATCTAACGCTATAATCTTGGTTAAATATATCTTTTTGTGACGTTTAACGTTCAAGATTTCTTTAGTTTTGCAGTACTTTTTGTCTTTATTCACAATATCATTAACTTTACCTTTCAGTTTAACAATGTTCTTAATCAGAATTAAACCTTTTTTTGGTCATTATCTATACCAAAGTTGAATGATTTTTTCATTCTTTGTTCAAATTTTGTTTCATTTTAATTTAGTTGATACATTGGCAAATGTCAATAGCGATATTTGTATTGGCTAATACTTGTTTCAAAATGTTGAATACTGATTAAAAGAGGGCATGCAACAACTATCTTCAAGATAAATGTAGTCTACGACGGGGTATGACTTGTATAGATGTACAAGAAGCAACTTTCGAATGATTGTCTTGATTTTAATGTAAACTAATTTAATGCAAGGGAAAATATGATGTCAAATCACCTACAGAAGATATATACATTTATATTTTTAGCACATCTGGCCCGTCGTCCGTCGTCAATATTTAACTTTACAACTTCTTTTTAATAACCAAAAGGCCTAGGATGATGATATTTGGCCAGAAGGAAATTTGGATAAAGGGCTACCAGTTTGTTCAAATAAATGACCTTCACTAATATTCAAGGTCACAGGGGTCAATTGTCTCAAAAAACGTTAACCAACTTCTTCTGAATAACCAAAAAGGACCAGGATGTTGATATTTATGCCGAGATAAAGGGCTTTAAAGTTTGTTTAACGTAATGACCTTGTTCGACGTTCAAGGTCACAGGGGTCAATTTTTAAAAATCTTTTAACAGGTTCTTTTAAATGAATAATAGTCATAAAATACTGATGTTTTGCCAGTAGCTTTATTTGAGATCACTTTTAATGTAACAAGTGTGAGATTAATACCAGGTGAGCGATGCATGCCCATTGGGCCTCTTGTTATATTTTTATATCATGCTTAATGTCTATAAATCCTACAGACTACAGGACGAAATTGACACCAATGTGGCGGCCGTTTCTGTATTAACGTCTGCCGAACTTGACGACTTGCCTTATCTGGATATGGTGATGAAGGAAACACTTCGACTTTATCCGATAGTAAAACAAACATTCAGAGAAACAGTCCGAAACGAAAGGCTTGGAGAGTTTTCACTTCCTGCCGGAACAGACATAATGGTATGCTAGCCATGTATTTCTGGCTAAACATACGCAACTATATTTGAAATGAAATAGACGATTGAGCCTTACATAAGTAATATTGTATCTTGGTTATGCGGTTTATGAAGACATTTATATAGAGAATAATGGTTAATTCCAAGAAAAAAAACAAGGATGCATTCCTTCCTTTGGTGCATAATTCATATTTTAAAATGATTGCTATTCAATGAAATCGATTCAAAATGGCAGGATATATATCATTACAGGTTAGTTTTTATGCCAATGGCAGATCTACAAAGACCTTGACGAATCCTTCCCAGTTTCTACCGGAACGGTTTGACCCGAAAGCAAACGAAAGGTACAAATTGTTACAACAAAGAAAAACAGGTTTTGACTTGCATATTTTCTTACTAGGTATTGGTGTAACATTTTGCTTTAATGGTGAAAGAATTTGATATCACACAACAGTATTAAACATACCATTACACTTTATATATAAGGTTTTCAATACACCTTGCCTGTTCTTTGCTACAAGTTTTGTACGGCGGTGAACGACAATTGGAGATAGTTCGTGAATTTACGTCATATTTTAAATTTTACGTCACGTCAATATTGGTCTCCGATTACTTGACAGTTCTTCGATTGGAAATCATGTAATGTTTCATGCTGTTTCTAGATTATACCATCATTTATTGTTGTTTGGCTAAACTTTTAAACTTTCTTAAAATGTTAAAAAGTTGAAATATCATGTAATATTTGCTTTCCATTCCTTTTCAGAGTTGGTACATACGTATATACTCCATTTTCAGCAGGGCCTCACACCTGCATAGGGAAGAAATTTGCAGAGGTGGGTCAATTTTGTTTATTACTAAATTGTTTTGAATAAAAAAAAACAGTAAAATTTCCTTTTCATCCTTTATCAATTTAAATATAATTTGATTACGACAGAAAATATCGCCATTGTTAGTAATTACTATTTTATTTCCTTCGTACAGTTACCTTAGGTAATGTAACAGAACTCCAGGAATGCATATTCCTGCTTTGAGGTAGGCCAAACGTTGTTTATTAAATGCATCTTTTATGGAGAGTAGGTTTTTGTAATTTACTTGAGGACAGGTGAAAAAGTAACGAAGTTCGTATTTTATATGAACATACTTTCAAAACCTTTATTTTGCTGACTGATTGTATACATGAAACACCGCTTTGATATTTTTAAATCATTTATCAAATCATGTGTTCCCTCTACATTAAGACGAATATGTTCATAGTTCTTTTATTTTGAATAACAGATAGAAACAAAGATCATAATGGCTAAAATCATCCAAAACTTCGACTTCGAGCTAGTACCAGGTCAACCCATGGGTGTTATTGATTGCGGCACTCTTCGAATATTAGGTGGCGCCAAATGCTTTCTGCGACCAAGAACGGCGAAATAGGGGCATATGTCAACACTTAACGAAGAAGATGTGGACACCATGCAACAAACAGTACGCATGCTACATAGCCTATAGACCATATACAAGTACACACTAGGCCGAACTCATACTACATTCATGTATCATGTTGGCTATACACTATGCCTGCAGCATGTTGAGTATATGCATATCAAATACAACTTACAAATCATCGAAAGTATATACAGTATGCCCTAAAAACGCACTGCGCACAGCAAATATTGTAGCATAGTCTATAAACAGCACACATCTACACAAAATATGTATACACAACAAACAGTAATAATGATATACATCAGTCCATAACAGCGCATTCACATAGACATAGACATAGGTATTCTATTAAAGTCTCACCTTTCAATCATACATAATATAAACACAAATACATATTACATATTTACCAAGATTTAACGCCATTTTATCAAGAATTACTAGAAGTGTCACATCTACAACTTTACATATGTATTTGTCGCACGATGCATAGTACTGTGCACAGCATGACAAACAATAGATAATCATCCCTATTAACAATAGATAGTCATCCCTTTTAACAATAGATAGTCATCCCTATTAACAATAGATAGTCATTCCTATTAACAATAGATTCGAGGTGTACATCGTTTATTATCATTTAACATATGTACATGTATATACAGATTTAGAACTATGTATATCTACACAGTAGTTGATTCACTCATAAAGAAATAGAGCTCTTCTATCCAATATTAGCTTGCAGGCTGTACTATATTCACTGGGATAAATTTCATATAATCATACACACTATATATATTATAGCAAATACATGTGTGTCATGACCAGTAATCAGTATACAGTGATAAAGCAAACCCATCGTATACATTATGTACAGCATCCATATCATTAGCAGGATACATATCATTAGCAGGATACATATCATTAGCAGGATACATATCATTCACTTTAACATGTTAACTATATTGAATTTGTAATTACATGTATTTTCAACCAATACAAGCGTTTTCATATCAATATCAGGTGTTGTTGTTTTATAATATATAGGGAATAGAGAGAAAAACAGACAGACAAACAGACAGCGGCAGACAGGCAAACGGTCACAGACGTATTTGACAGACACATGCACATACACAGACAGACTGTTTAAGGAACATGTTTATTACACTGAAGTAGGACATCATAGTTAATGCTTCTTTGAAAAAGGCCCGTTAGAATTTTAAAGAAATATAGATGTAAATTTCATGTACACCTATTCACATGCTCATATCTATTTATAGATTATATAGATTGTAGATAAATAGAATATATAGATTGTAGAAATATTACAAACGCGAAAATTTCGACGCCGTGATCAGTTAAATGTGTAACAACGCAACAATTTCACACGCGAAAACTTCCACTCTTACCGTTTTAATCTAGTTATTAGTCACTATGTAAGTGCATATTTTCATATTAGATAAAGGTCACTGGCGACCATCGCATGTAAATATACTTCATAGACACCATTGGAATGTATATAATAAGATGATTTATTATCCTATGATATCTTCATATGCAGTATCTATGACACTGATGGGTCACCGTATGACTGTACATCTTGGCGACCAGATGAGGTCACTTTTGTGTAAATTTAAAGGTCACCGAATGTATGTAGGTATATCAATACTAAAACATAAATATGTTACTAGAAAGAGGCAAAAGATAATTACATCTATTGCCAACTTGCTTTTTAAGTAGAAAATAGAGAACAGATTATTTAAACTTTTCACATGGTATTACTGTTAGTTTAACAAACATTACACATGAAAGAATTGCAAAGATTTGCTCCATTATACATTGTATACAATGGGTCAACAAAATAACAGTGTACACATGGACCAGAACTACGCCTGTATTCATTCATGCATAAATACATTAAGTAGTGTTTGTATGTAAAAAAGGATAAACGCCCTTAGCTCAACCTGTTTATTTCATAGGTTGAGAGTTGTAAAATGCGATATTCACTATATATAACAGTGTTAATTTTGAAAGACTGACGTCCCAAGGCCATATAAAAGACCTTGGCCAGTATTTGACCTCTATTTGTTCGTTATATTTTTCAATTATGTTCTTGTGGCGATTTGAATCACTGGTCATAGTTATTAGGGACATACAAAAGTTATATTGACTGAGAAGAAATTGAGACAGAGAAGAGGTTAGGATCAATATATTTTGTTAGTTCATTATAACCATATATTCGACTAAAACGTCTTTAGTTGTTACATGTATATTAAACGCTTAATAATGTTTACATCATTCAATACGATTGAACAAAAAATTGATTTATTAATATAAAATTTTCGAGGAGTACTGGTAGATTGAAATTAAACGATTCCTTGTATTTCTGTTATATATTCATGATAAGAATCAACAATTGATAACCATGAATATTAAAAGTGTTACTTGTCATTGATAGTTAGATAAACTGATTATAATGACAATACTACTGATAACCGTAACTGCAAGACATGATGTATTAATTGTATCTGATGATTAACGAATGATTGTGCACAAAGTACTTGGAATGCTTGATTATACATTAATTAAAATCAGCTCTAATACATAAGACTAATTTTGCTTCGCTTTCTTCTCTCAGCATCAGTATTAGGCTTAACTATTTGAGTCTCAAATTTTCGGCGACCAGAAACAAAAAACAACTATATCCTGTTTCTGTCAAGAAAATCGTAATAGTATACATACACATTGTTTAATAGAAACACCTAATATTGAAATGTGAGTTGGCTCCCTTTCACATTAAGGAAGAAAATAATATCGAAAGTAACAATTCGATAGCAAAGCATAAAGCATTGAAAAAGATTACTTCATAGGACGTTAGTTGTACGGATCCGTTGGATTTTATATAAGTTCACATATCGTATATAGTGATTTATAAAGTCTTTTCCATTACGCTGATGCCGCTTCTTCGAGGGCGAAAGAAACATTTGACGCCACTTTTCGGTTGTATTGTAGCGTTGTCTTGAATTTCACTGGTTTGGTTAGGAATAAGTTCAAAATCAAAACTTTGCATAATCTTGGCAATCATGATTTTAATTTCTATCTGTTGAGTAAAAAGAATCAAAACAATTTCTTAAGTTCATGATAATTCAAGTATTTATTATTCTGAGATTAAAACATTTAACGATAAAAAAAACATTATTTAAGTAATTATACATTTCGATTTTTTTAAGAAAGTCTTACAATTCACTTTTTTAAGATGATATGACAAACAAAGGTCATTCATTTTTTTTCATTTTTTTTTATGTCATTGGCGGTATAATCTGTTTCTTAAGTTTATGGTTTATCCTATGAAAAGTACATACCTCAGCAAACTTTTTCCCAATACATGTGTGGGGTCCAACTGAAAATGGTGTTGAGGCATATTTGCTTAATCTGAAATAGAAACATATTTTTATCGAATAAAAAGGTAAAGAAATTAGTTCATATTTTATAAAATATGATTTAAGATCATCGAATGTTTAAACGACTCATATGGTTCAAATATTTTATCGAAAGATTGCCATGTGAGCGAGGATTAAAATATAATTTTCTTTCGAGTAGTTTATTAAATCCAGCATACGTATACAATGCACATGATCATTTATATATACTTCTCTAAGCTGTCGCTGTGGAATCGTTCTGGTATAAACGTTTTGGGGTTTCTCACATTTTGCTCTGCCCTGGACGTCGCGTAGAAACTAACCTGTAAGGCGAATTCACATAGTACATATATTCTCTATTCGTACCGCATTGTAAGCAATCACCATTATATGTAAATATGTGGACATGATATAATTAACTATTTGATCTTTAGTCCACTTATCTGTTATAACAGTTGTACAGGGTTTGGTCATTATAGAAATATCATTTCTGGAAGAGAACATAAATTCAAATCAAACAATAAAAGGCAAAGCTACACATAACTCATTAATACAAATACCTGTATATGTCTGCACAAGACTACTTCAAATATATTAACAATTTTTATTCTTTTCTTAATGAACATAAACAAATTCTATATATAACGATAGTTATTTTAAGTTTGACAAATTTTTCCTCAAACATTTCAAATAAAAATGTAAAATATGATTTTGAACGATCTGAAGGCTCTGTAAATTTCTATTATACCATGATCACTATAAAAATATGATTATTAGATTTTTGCTAATTTCAGTGATTATACTGAAGACTTGACATTGGTAAGCGAATACTCAAACGGTTGTGTTGACATCTAACAAATAATCTTGCATTGGTTTCAGTGTCGTAGTAGTTTTATGATACTTCTCCAGGACTTCCATTTTGATCTTGGTTGAATTGGAAACAAGAGATAAGAACTTGTTCTGGAACATCTACCCATGGTACTACAAGTATATCTACAAAACAATTTACGATAAATTGTCAATTTTCTGTGGAACATGCTTTATGTCCTAATTATGTTAAATCATATAACGAAATGTCCTTACCATCATATCTGTACCAGCGGGGATGAGGTGACCGCCGAGCACGTGATCCTTAATTGTCTCGCGAAAAGTTGTCTTACCCACAGGATAAAGTCGAAGTGTTTCCTTTAATGCCATATCTAGGTAGGGTAACTTCTCAAGCTCATTCAGTGTGATCACCGACACTGCGCCAACGTTTTCATCAATTTCTCTTTGTAGCCTAATAAGGTAATATCATGATGTTTTTATACTCAACCTTAAGCTATCACATATAAATATAATCACATACGATTTTTGTTGCCAACACTGTTAGACAGGGTCAGAAAAGACAATATAATCAAAACATGTATTTTTGTGAATATTATTTCAAATATATTGCATAGCTGAAATATGAATGTATCACACAAAAGTGACTGCACCTATAGAAATTGGTTACACGTAAAGTAAGTTAAAATAGACTACACTGCATCATTCAGATATATCGTCCATCTAGGAAACCTGTATCTCGTTCTGCTTTGCCTATTACATTCGCCTTTATCTTTTATCAATATCATGAATACAAGTGATGAGAACTGATCCCATATCTTACTTTTTGTAACATTCTGGGTTCTGCCCGAGAAGGAAAATCATAAAACACATGGCGTTGGAGGATGTTTCCTGTCCTGTGGGATAAATACCAATTTATATCAATTAATTAAAAATGCGACAGATTTTTGCTTCAAAATTAAAATAATCATCATTCCATCAGAGACGTCGGTTTTCAAATAACAAAAATCAATACATTGTCATAAAACATTGTCATAATGCATTGTCATAAAACATTGGAGATGAAATTGCATAAATTGCTTTATAAATACGGGGTCAAAATATTAAACTCTATATATATCTATATCTTAAACTGGCTGTGACCTGTTTATATTGATATTCGAATTACAGATCAAAAATAAATACATTTACCTGCTATCAGGAATGTCAGAAAATTGTCCAACAGCACTTCGTCTGTCATTATTGATGGGTGTTTTTCTGAAACAATACATAGACATTGACCATAGAAAAAAAATCTCTTCAATGTTTACTTTTATTTACATTTGCGCTACAAAGTCAATATGTACACCTTATACACTTCGTTTCGGGCTATTAGACTATGAACCTATAGTAGCAGTCATACGAACGTGACTTGAAAGGAAACAAACAGTTCGAAAGTCAAGTTTGATTTTCGTTTGGAATTTTCGGACAAGAGGTTGTATTTCCACCACGAAAGGAAAGGATATTATCTGAAAGTAGTTTAATACTTAAATATCTGCTGTCTACACTGATTTACACATTTACATATATTGACGTACAAATAATACGGTCTTTACAAGTACCTTTTAACTCCATTATGTACTCTAAGAGATCGCGTGGGATATATTCGCCGTTGCTTTTCGCCATGCTTCTCTCTTTCATTACTTGCTCTGCACTTTGTCTGATAAATTTAATAGCTTCCCGGACATCACGGCGAAATCTCCATTCGAGCGGATTGATCTAAAACTCAAAATAGTAAATGTTAAGTTCTCTTACTAGTAAGGGAACACGCGCATTCAGTAATTCTTGTGTTTTTGTCCTATTTACAGCGTCAACATGAACATAAAGTGACAAATGTGGAGCTTGACATCGACACAAGAAAATTAGAGGAAATACTTTTTAGCAACATTAAAAAACAAAAAGCGTTATCTTGTTTGCGTAATGGCACCCTTCATAATATGCACACTTTACTCATTATTAATGTGAATTTAACTAGTACTTCATATAAGTAAAGGGTTTGGTTTCATGCACATCCTCTTGTGCTTCAGCAGTAGTTTGAGACTATTTTGGAATTCAACCTGTATACCCCTAGCATCACATTGGGGGCCTAGAAGAACGAAACAGCTGTAAAGTACTGTGTTATTCATTGTTGGCATCCGTATCTGTTACCAAGTTTAATAGATGCAATAACATTTGTGTGTCACACATTCACCTTCAAAATGTTTAGAATTCCATATTGTTTTATTGGTTTTTATACATACAGCTACGAAAGGATTTGAAACGAGCACCGCAAATCCTGATAAAGCTGTTTTCATTTTCGTGACAAAGGGATGGTTCTCCCTAGTTAATGGTCCCATATCAACATTGAACGCCACCTGGAAAAAAACGTGATCACATGGTACTCTTATTATGATATTTTAATATACAGTGATTATTTGATTTTTTTGAATAACTGTCATAAATTGTATACCTGTAAGCCATTTCTATATTCAGAAATACATTAATTAGTAAAATCACATCCATGTTCTAGCATTTATATGTAATGCGAACAAAAATTACAACGACTTCCGGCTCCTTTACATTTATATAATAAATTCATATATCTAACCTGTATACCCCAAACAAACATTGATTGATAACACACCTCACTTATAAACAAACCCTGTATAACATCTGACAACACTCTCTACTCATAGACAATCCTTGCGCAACGTATGTTAACATACCATTCCCCAAATAACCCTTGAACATAAAACTGATAACTCACGCTACTTATAAACAAACCCTGTTGATCAGATGAACACAAACAACACACCAAACAGACACTGAACAACAGATTGATGACACACCATACTCATACATGAACCTTGTACATTATATGGTTATGTACTCTACTCATGGCTAAAATTTTGACACTAGATGATAAACTACTCTATCAAAGATAAACCATGTGCATCAAATGAAATCACAAAACCTGTCCCTAGACAACTTTTTAACAAGAGATAGTATACCCTACTCCATGACAAACCTTGTACATCAGATGATTACAAACCCTTTTCGTAGACAAACTTTTAACAAGAGATAACCTACCCTACTAATATACAAACCTTGTACAAGAGATGCATCGTCAGTTTGTTGAACGTATTTAATGTATGAACTTCTGTCTTGCCATCCGCATAGGTTTCAAGGAACTCTGTGTAACGATCGGCAAACTCGTTGAATTCAGATGCAAACTGGCGAATGTAGCTGAAGGAAGTTATATAAATTAGTAAATGTGACATCTGAATGAGTCAAAAAACGAGTGCATACATGATTGAGAAATGAAAGTTATTTGTAAATAAACTATTGTAACTTTACCATGTCTAAAATTCTGAAATGCAACAACACTTTTAATTGGTATATTACGTGTACCGTGTATTATTGGACGTTCCAACAAATAAAGCACGTTAAAGTTAGTCCAAAAGCATTACCGCAAAATGTAGCAAATGTTAAAAAAGAAGCCATGGATGAGGTACGCCCATCTTGTTTTGTATATGTTATAGGATTCCCGAACAAGCAAGCAACGACAGTTGATATATCTTCCAGACCTTCTAAACATTCGTATGCACATGATCAGAATTATCCGAAGAATTTTCACTGACTTTAATTTGTGTTTTTAAGTCTGTCAAAGGTCATTCATATGTTGTTGATTGATATCGATAGATTGAAACAATGAGTTTTGTTGTGGTATTAAGACCCAAAATGGAGAGGGTATTTCATATAGGCGAGTTGTGCCAAGCTGTTGATTCTAACCAGCAAATCAAGAATATTGTTCAATCGAAGAGTTGCGCTAAGGCTGGGGCATGATGCATCCTTTCTAGTGTATTTACGATAAATCATTAAGTCATGACAAATAATTAATACTTTTCTAATATATAAAGTATAGACAGGCAATAAAAGGAAAATATTCCTCTGAAAAAAGAAGTAAAATACACTGAAACGGATAAGCTTTCAACTATTCAACTATCATACAATCACACATGTTAATTATCTAATAAATAACGCATGGGTTTTAAGGTGCTATTCTTTAATGTTATTTGATATATATTAAAGTTCAAATGAAGTTTAGGAATGACAAACAACATCGGGGAAAAAATGGCATCATGCCAGTTTTAAATCACAGACCGTCTGTTCGTTCCTCTATCCATTTATAACGAATGCTTAAAGAAACATATTAATGGGGTTTTTAACACAAACTTTTGGTTACGTGTATTACTTTGTCAGTGTGGCAACTATCATCTCCTCAAAGCCTTTAACAAGTTAAATAAGCAAAAGCACAGCTCATCTCATCTCACATTTCATACTTGTGTAAATGATTATTTATATATCCAATCCATTTAACTTAAATCGTAGTGTATTATTTAATTTGCTGAATTGATACTCGTTGTCTGCCGTTTTTAAAGAACTTTGAAGTTGTTTTGACCCTCGAGTAAGTACCGTAATATTGCCTGAACAGTTCTTTTAGACTCCAGTGAAAACGTTTATCTATTCATTTAGATGACTTAATTAAACAAGGCAAGTTTTGACCTTTTATGTAGCATACATCCAAATGTCTCCTAACCACATTATAGCGTCTATAAGGACCACTGAACATTTTCATTCTGGTCCACTTTGTGTAAAACTCCGGACGAACATTTGTTTTATAAAATTTCTAAATGAAAATGTTCTTTTAACTGGGAACAGTGGTTTCTCAATCTACTTGCTAAATAGCTCCTTATTCTTATACCATTCAGTAATTACGCGTACTAAATCCATTCTTTTAACATTTATTTTTATGAAATGTATACATCCATATTTTACAATGCCTCTCGTTTAATTTGCAAACTTACTTACTGCTAACACATAACAAGGTCCCTTTTGTCTCTTTTTGTTAATAACTCCTTTATTTATTTACTTCATTTTGTCGCAAAACCCCTTTATAACGCAAAAGAAATTTCTGACAAATGGTGTCATCATAACGAGGTTTAACTTTATATAAATTCCATTACTCCAGTAAATATGTATGTCCACTCATCCCTATATTGTAGTATCAATAAGAGTGTCTGTCTTTTTCAGTGTTTCAGTATTCAATTGGTCTCTTACTGTGGTTTGAACCATTGATCGAGGTGCATTCTCTGCATTATCCACAATTTATTATCAACCTGTGTTAGAAGTCCTTGGTCCATAAACCTGAAACCGTAAAATCAAGATTAATTTTATAAGTAACATATATATTGCAAAAGGACTTTCTATATTAATTATTCGTATGGGAAATCGCTTGTTGTTAGATATTGTGTCGTCTTCAGTAATATATCACTTATCTTTGTCATAGATATTTCGATAAAACATTTTGGAATCACTGGGTTTCGATTTAGTCAAGTTTTATTCGTAAGCATTATGATATACTTTCTTTAAGCTGTGTATCTTGTCGTTGTCATATCGATACAGTTATAATAAATCATCTCCTACTTGCTGTCTGAAGCGTTATCAACTTTAAATGTTGTTTATCCGTGTTTGAAAAAAAAAATTGACAGTGACTAGTTTAACGTAACCAACTATTTCCAAACCGCTAAAAAATAAAGATAACGATTGTGTGAATTCGTTTGTTCAAACATATATGCGAACAACAATCTGAAAAATAAGTTTTATTACCTTGCACCAAACACTCCAGTGGTTCCGGAATATATTCGTTTTGATTTCGGATGGTTTCCAGATACAAGAACATCCTAAAAGAAAACTTCTTTGTTGTTAAAACTACAATAAGATAGAAAATAATAACGAAGCACTAATATTTTTTCTTTAATCAAATTAATACTTTTTGCACCGTAAAATCCACTAAAATTATTATTCACTTATGGTTATTATGTTCCAAAGGATCATCCACTTAGTTTCTAATTACAAGCAATGATTTAATGGAATTTTGAATATTTTAGAATAAAATCGGTAAAATATATATTTTACCTTAATGCATTCTGGATCCAATACAATAACAAGAACTTGATTCCACAAACAAAGCCGGAAAACCAGTCCGTGGGTTTTACAACTGAAAATTATTTTGTTTGCTTTAGCATTATCAACATGTCACTTACATACAGTTATTATAACAAAATCATTGACAGGGATTATTTCAGAATTCGAAAGAAAATTAAATAGTTCTTAATTCAAACGTTTCTTGGTCCAGTTTTGAAGTAAAATGAAGATTGTTTTTTTATTATATTACTTACAAGTCCTTTAGAATGATAAAATGATTCCATTACACTTAATTGAATTGTAAAATTGAATGTATGAATATATCACATAAATTGATGCAATGATGCTGTCAACCATGTGACGTTTTCGCATATGAAACACGTGATAACATCAATGCACAGCATAATACAATATATGATGATAACAGTATCTCCTCTTTTTTTCGAACCCCACCGGCATAACACACAACATACAATATTCATTATCACAAATTCAAAAGCATCAGCAAATACATAAACACACTAATCAAAATATTATATGAATTTTTTAAGTTCACAAAATTCGATTCATTTTGTAGAAACGCCATTAATGCAATGAAATATTGTTTCCAAAAGATTGGCTTCATTTACTCACACTTCCAGTAAGTAGTCATCCATAATACCACCAGCAGCGATCACCTTGGCAATAGAAGGAATGTGTCCACTCCAGAAACTTCAAAAGATATATGCTTTGTTTACTATTTACAATCATCTCCCAAATTAGATATAGTTTACCGCAAGAACATATCAATGTTATGGTATAAATTGCAATTAAAATAACACTGAAGAGCACGATAACCCTTCGTATTGGCAGTATATTGTTACAAACGAGTTTTTTAACCCGTATTTTCTTCGTTTGGTGATGACTTCTTTAACACCAAAACAATACCAAAGAAATCATGAATCCTCCAAATAAAACAATTCGACTGGAAGAATACGTTTTCTATAACAAATAGGGCCCAGGATATAAGGTTACTGTCAAATGCACACTAGGAGACCTTATAAAGTATCTTATGAACTATGTATTATTAACTATCATTACATACTTACTAAGAAATACGGGTTTTTTGTATATGCGATACGACACTATTGCTCTTACCCACATCAGCCCTCGCCATATCACACCCAAAAAGCTGTATCAGCCCCCGCCGTATCACACCCAAAATCCCGTATCAGCCCGCAAAACCCGTATCACAACCATTTTGGACATGTTTCGTTTTTCAATATTTCAAACGAAAATTAGATCATAAGATAGTAGCTTTTATTAGTAAGAATGTAATAAACAATATAAAACATGTCTTTTTCCATATCACACCCAGTATCAACCCTCGACCAATATCAGCACTCGGGCCTTCTGCCCTTGGGCTGATATTGCAGTCTCGGGGTGATACTGGGTGTGATATGGAAAAAGACATGTATTATTCTCTATTTATAATCCATATTTATTTCAAAAACAGAAAGTGTGTTTTCATATATCAACGACAGTAAAGAACGGTTACTGTTTATACATAATACCAACCTGTCCCTGGGAGGCCCCGGGAGATGATCATACTTTTGATGTTGTCGGTGAAAACGCAATGCTACAGAAACAAGCATACAAAGACACACAGCGATAACAATTCCTAAGAATTCCATGAAAAGTAGGCACAACTTTATCGCAAGATCAATTAGGTACGTACGCAGTCTGTGACACACACAAATGTAATCGTGATTGTGAAACACAATAACATTATATACCCTTTTATCGTATATATCTATCTACTACGGAAGGTCTTAACAGCCTAATACATTATCCTTTACACCGGCCCGATATCTTGAAAAACTAACTTAAAAATAACTAGATACCAACAAGGTTGATCGCATGGAACTCAGCTATAGGTAGCAGAGTACAGTAGCGTACGGTGGCCATGGGTGATATTTTTATACAATGAATAACCCCTGTAATGTAACATGTATCAAAATAAATTTTATTTCCATAATTACAGCTGAAGAAAACTTTTTTTCTAGAGAAATATGTTAAATGACCAATGTCTGGGGTCACTGTCAATTCTAGGCGAGGAAAGTAAACAACGGTTGCTATGGTGTCATTTGTCTGATGTTTCAGAATATCTGACATTTTTGTGCTGTTCATCGGTTACGGGAAGTGTGTCTGTTTCTAGTTTGTTGTTGTGATGGGTTTCCTGGTATTCATTTTGATATCAGTGAGCCTTGATGATGTCACAGATGCCCATTGATGACGTCATAGTTATGATGACATCACAGTAACTATGACGTCATCACACAAGACAGAAACATCCTTGTATCACTGTACTGTTTTGTTTTTCACATGCACATGATCTTAAAGCATCATATTTTACCCAAAAAGAAATTTTATTCCTGAAAACTACAAAGTTATTCAAGTTTTATTTTTTCAGATTACCTCCCTTTGTTGGTAGTTTGAGAGCAGAATTGGTAAAAAATCACCTAGCAGGAGAATTCATATTACTCGGTCACTTTTAAAGTGAGAAAGGAAACGGATACATCTTTTTGTTCATTGTGTCATTTTCCAGACATTTAAAAGGTTTTGATTGAATTTTGGGGGAAAAAAAGGGATGTATAAGGTAGCAGAGTACAGTAGCGTACGGTGGCCATGGGTGATATTTTTATACAATGAATAACCCCTGTAATATAACATGTATCAAAATTTAAAAAAAAAATCAGCACTAAAATTGGCATATACATGATGAAGTGGACTATGTGGGCTTCATAATTTAAAAAAAAGAAAAGTCGAATTTGGTTTGAGACTACAATTTTGGGCATTTACGAATCTGTGTCTACACAACAAAAGCTAGCTTTTCAGGTAGTCTATTTTTGTACTCAGCACATGTGTAAATATTGTGAAAAATCCACCGGAATGACCTATGCTAAAACGTGAGTATTTCTGTTACCGAGTAGGCGATATTTAATTTCAGACAGGTTTTAAGAAAAACAATTCTACTTGCGGGGGTCAAATTCTGGGTTAAAAATCATGATTTTTTGCATATTTTGGTGTTTTTTGATGTGGTAACCATGGTTTTCAGAAGTCCCAAATTTGGGGAAATCACTTTTTGAAAAAAAAAATGTTCTTCTAAAAAACACCTATTCAAAATGTAGTTTATAAATATATATATATATATATGTAGGTGTGTTGTGCAGGATGAATCCGCTAACTATGTTTATCCGAGACATGCCCTTTATTTTTAGGGTCAAGCCATTTCTACTGTACTCTGCCACCATAGCCTAGTGTCCACAATGCATTGCAATATGGATTTAGATATAAATATATGCCTCGACGCAATTCGTCGTGATTATGTTGTGTCAACTCACTTGTTTTGCTTATGCTTTTCTCGCTTTTATGGGTTTTTTTTGCTCTGTACATGTAAGTAAAAAGTTAGGATTGTTCTCTAGCTAACTACATAACTGAAGAATCAAGATGGACATTTTTTCATAAAACATATTACTGGTTGACTGGTAGTCATTGTTTTAGCAAAGTTAAATGAAAAGTAGCTGGCATTGTTATAGTTGTTTATAATTGCAGCAATGACAAACTATGAGCAATGTGCTCAACATGTACACACGAAGAGAAACCCTGGTTAGAGCTAAATCTTTCAATTAAGACTGTTCTATATACTCTACGTATGCCGGTTATAATGGCCGCCTTTATGGCATCTTTTTCTTATCTTTTCTTTTTTTGTTCTTGTTAGAGGTAAAGAAAGCTTGGTACTGTTGGAAAACATGATACTCCGGGGCTAATCACTCGCCAGAGCATGAATCCTTTATATAATCCGCTGATGTGTGCAAATATTCCTAATTACATCACCCCCCGAGGTGTGAAAATGTTACATAACCCGCGAAGTGTGAAAATGTTACATCACCTGCTGAAGTGTGAAAATGTGACATCACTCGCTAAAGTGAAAAAAAATTGCATCAGCCGCTGAATTCTGAAATTGTTACATGACCCGTTGAAGTATGAAAATGTTACATCATTCGCTAAAGTATCAAAATGTTAGATCAACTCGCTGAAGTGTCAAAATGTTACATCACCAGCCGAAGTATGAAAATGTTACATCACTTGCTCAAGTGTCAAAATGTTACATCCCCAGCCGAAGTATGAAAATGTTACATCATTCGCTAAAGTAACAAAATGTTAGATCAACTCTCTGAAGTGTCAAAATGTTACATCACCAGCCGAAGTATGAAAATGTTACATCACTTGCTCAAGTGTCAAAATGTTACATCACTTGCTCAAGTGTCAAAATGTTACATCACTTCCTGAAGTGTCAAAATGTTACATCACTCGCTAAAGAGTGAAAATGTTACATCACCTGATGAAGTATGAAAATGTTACATCATTCGCTAAAGTATCAAAATGTTAGATCAGCTCCCTGAAGTATCAAAATGTTACATCACCAGCCGAAGTATGAAAATGTTAAATCACTTGCTGAAGTGTCAAAAGGTTACACCCCCCGCCGAAGTGTCAAAATGTTACAGCACCAGCCGAAGTATGAAAATGTTACATCACTTGCTGAAGTGTAAAAATGTTACCCCACCCGCCGAAGTGTCAAAATGTTAGATCACTCGCTAAAGTGAAAAAAAATTGCATCAGCCGCTGAATTCTGAAATTGTTACATGACCCGGTGAAGTATGAAAATGTTACATCACTTGCTGAAGTGTAAAAATGTTACCCCACCCGCCGAAGTGTCAAAATGTTACATCACTTGCTCAAGTGTCAAAATGTTACATCACTCGCTACAGTGAAATTAATTGCATCACCCGCTGAAGTCTCAAACTGTTACATCACCCAACGAAGTATGCGTTAAAGTGAAAAAAATTGCATCACCCGCTGAGTGTGAAAATGTTACGTCACTCGCTAAAGTGTGAAAATGTTACATCACCTGATGAAGTATGAAAATGTTCCATCATATGCCAAAATATAAAAATGCATTTCTCGCCTACATCTAATGATAGCTGAAGCCACATACAATAGGAGAAATACTAGACAGAATATTTTGTAGAGGATCATATCAATGTCAACATACTAGAAAATTCAATTTCATTGCATTTATTAAGATTTCAGTTCCTGCCTTTCTGTTTCTCCATAGTGTTTGTAACTTGTTTTAAGAATTGTTATCTAACCTATTCTTATTCGACCCTAAACAAACAAACACCAACTTTGAATCTGCGTATTTTGTTTTAGCATACTTAGACGTTATCGCCAGGTAGTGACTGCTCCTTTATCTTCTGTGTCAATTACCTATCGTCCTTTACCTGATTATGAATGTCCCCGGCAAAAATGTGGTTTACATGGACCTACATTTTTCACGTGGTAACAGTGTGATCCGTTAATACCCCCATTTATAATACTTTGCATATAAACTCATATATGGACGGTGAAATCATATGATAGATTCCCACATGAAACCATGACGTCAGACGGGAGACAATAAAGCAATTAAGAAAACAATGACCGGATTGGATACTCCAAAAATTACCCATGTAAGCCTTTTGTTTTTTTAGGGGGGAGGGGGTGTTTTATGATAAGAGTTTTACCAGTTAACAAAACAAACCTTAATTCAACCCTATTTAATATTTCATAGCCTAGTTTCATAGGCATGACCTCACACGGTCTTAGTGAACTAAACCTGATTATTTCGGAAATATATCTGGTTAAAAATAAATCTTTATGTGTCAGAGATTTTCTATTAAGACAGGTATATCTTGCTACAGTGTATATGATATGATCGACCAGTGTATCTAGGTACGTTAACACTGTTATCATCTGTGTCAAGGCCCTACACTGTAACTAGGTCCCACTATATATTTATGTAAATTGCCCCGCTGAAGGGATACAAAATAACGTCCATACAGAGATTTTGATTATATCATTGTTATTAAACTAAATATTATATCACGAAAATAAGACTGATTTTCGTTTACGATAACACTCGTTAGTAGACAAAACGTATGTATATTAGTGTCGTATTGCTTTTAATAGAATTACTTCGCGTTGTTTCATGAGCCCCGACATCGTTGTTTCTGTTTATAGGACAGTTTACAACTTGATATCATAACAAGCGTATGCTTTTGGGTTTGAATATCGCTTTGTTTCATTGGTCTGTCTATTTTATACTATGTCTATGATGCACATGTCTGTTATGTCGAATGTGAAGCGGGGAGGTTATTCCTCCACTCCATCAATTTGTTATCCTGCTTGGCTTTTTACAATAGATACAAATTAAGATCTCCACTTTTTAGAGTTATTGTTTAACAGCTCAACGGACGTCTTAATATTTTCATATTTTGTTAAAGAAAAACATGCATATTGATATTTACGCACTTTCTTAATAGTTTTAATCTAGTGTCCTAATCGTACTCCATGTAACCTAAAAACTTCGTTATTATCGAATCAAATACGGTCCTGTAAAATAGGTATCAATATTAGCATCATTTGTTATAGACATAGTCATCGTGTCACCTTAGCTGTCACTGTGACACAAATAAAATAATACGAGACTTTCCAATCGACTTATGGTAACATAAATATAGATATAGTCCACATACCGCCATAGCAGTCACGATGACACAAATACGTTAACAGACGTCAACCTTGTTTTCCGCACGCTCGGTCATAATCTCGAAGTGTTGGTATCACGTTATATTCTGTGTCATTAACCTTTCGTTCTAAAGAAGCCACATAATGACACATTGATCTGTGCATGGACTCGTAGTGCTCAACATTATTTAAACCTTTAGTAAACCATCAACTGTGTAACACAAAGACTTATACTAACTGCACTTTTAACTATCTTAGTCTTATCAGAAGTCCTTTCAATTCTCATAGTACCCGATGCTTGCCGTAATCGCGATATCCAAAGTTATCTATTCTGAGTGAAAGTAAACAGAATTTACCAATTATTTAATTTGAAATTAACTATACATCTCTTCTTAAATTTTAAATCCATATATTACGGGGTTTTACGCACATCCCATTATGGTTAAACACTAGTCTGAATAATTTGGCCCCTTGAATCGGCAGGGTAATTTATTTTTGGCCTATTGAATATATTATAGAATTTAAAAGGTGCTACCACGTGTGAGTGTGTGCTATTATAGAATTTAACAGGTGCTACCACGTGTGAGTGTGTGCTATTATAGAATTTAACAGGTGCTACCACGTGTGAGTGTGTGCTATCATGTGTGTGCTATTATAGAATTTAACAGGTGCTACCACGTGTGAGTGTGTGCTATTATAGAATTTAACAGGTGCTACCACGTGTGAGTGTGTGCTATTATAGAATTTAACAGGTGCTACCACGTGTAAGTGTGTGCTATTATAGAATTTAAAAGGTGCTACCACGTGTGAGTGTGTGCTATTATAGACTTTAACAGGTGCTACCACGTGTGAGTGTGTGCTATTATTTTGTACATGTTCCGAATTTCTCGCGCCGTAGCCAATTCTCGAAATCAGGGCCTTTTCTTTGGCAGTTTGTGTGATGACCTATGATACCATACGACATACCAATGCATTACTTTACTATGCGGCTTCAAATCTATAGCCTCAAAAATATCATAAGTTGAATGTGTAAGGTGCTTAAGGTGTTAATAAAAGTAATACCTCGGTAACCGTTTACAATTTTTAAAGAATATAGTTTCATTTTAGTGTAGATACATGAAACAATTTCGTGGGGATAATTAGTTTGTCTTGAAGTAAGACTTGTCCATACAATTATTTTGATTCCATTTTTTAGATGTCTAACACAAAATTCCCACGATGCATGAAGTTGAATTGGTGCCTCAAAGAACGCTCTAGAAATCGCCGCTAATTTGGTTCATATTTATTATCTTAAATGATTAGAACAAGATTAAATATGTTTTTAAAAGTTGATATTCTGCGTTTGCATAAACTGCTCACAGAGTCTAAACTATGACGCCACCGAAACCGTTTCCCTAGAACAGAAAAAAACACTTGACGCCATCTTTTGCTTGTAATGTTGCGTTGTCTGCTAGATCACAGGTTTGTCCGGGAACCAATTCGAAGTCGAAATTCTGCATGATCTTGGAAATCGTTATCTTTATTTGTATCTGTTAAATAAAGGTTAAACCAAAAATTATAAAATTGATAGAGAATAGATTAATTTAAACAATGAAATTAATTAGTTTCTCGGAAATGCAACCATTTGTATTGGATATTTTCCTATAAAAACGCCCAATATAACGCTTCGTTGAATACCGTTTTGACACTGTCAGTTGCTAAGCTGAAACCTCGCATGTGATTTCGCTTACTTTATATCTATCGAAGTGGATATTTGATATATCCGCCGCGATATATGACACATAGTATCGATGTGTATGGGTAGATCTATTTGTTTTGCAGTGTCATTAATAGATGTTAGTAGGATGTACTCGGCGTAGGCAGCGTATATACACAGAGATGATACCCATGAAGGTAGTTGCCATGTAGCAGATACATGTTCCCCACATGCAATCAATCGAAATTTTCAATTTATTAACTCAATTTAACACACAAAAAAACACCATTTAAGGTGTGCGTTTAATGTTATGGGGAAAATACTCTCCAAATGAGAAGTTGGTTGTAACTTATGATATATATATATTTGGTATATTTTTGTACCTTCATGTGTTTCATGATATTGTTTTCGGTGCTTCCAAATCTAAACAATTACAAACAAAATGTGTTAAAAAGATTCTACAACTAGTGACCGTTTTTTATAAGGTTAATGTAACTATCGATAGTTAATTATCAAATTGGTAATTATAAAATCTAAATAACTCGGAACACATGATGAACAACCATCATTCGTTGTGGAAACTCAAATCCTTATCAAAACGGAATAACAGTAAACTTATTTATCTCGTGATATGTATAGAACTTTTGGTTTCTTAAGTTTATATTAATCCTTACACTGAAGAATACAAACCTCCGTAAACTTTTTCCCTATACATGTATGAGGCCCAGCTGAGAAAGGTGTGGAGGCGTATTTGCTAAATCTGAAGAAGAAGAAAACATGACTTTAACATTAAACGTCTTTTATGTCGAAGACCAAAGTATGACTAAACGAAAAGGGAAAAGCCTCTATTTAGTTTTCCTTCAGTAAATAGAATCATTAGCTCAAGAGTGAATGATTTCTTACACATTGAATAATCTCTCGAAAACCTAGTTCATCAAATATTTACTTATCTGAGCTGTCGATGTGGAATCGTTCTGGCGAAAACTTTGTTGGATCTCTTATATTTTGACCTGCCCTGGACGTCGCGTAGAAACTTACCTGTAAAACGTATTTTCAAAGTACTCTCACTGGTTTATTCTGCATATTAAATACGGTTTCATTTTATTACTATACAAAAGTGGTTCAAAGAACAAAATGGGTTATTTCAACTATTTTGAGGGGAAACGTGTAGTGTTTAAACCAATTAAATAGCACTGTAGACTTGATAATTGTCAAAAAATGAAATGGATCCTTTGTGATAGAAAGATGATTTTTCATTCGTTTCTTTATTTATAAGTTTGATTAAACTGCATCCGAACTTTAATTGTAGTCTGGCGTAAACGTCCCTTTTGATAACTAATATGAGAAATGAAAACTCACTTGATAGATTATGATATTTCACAGCACATATGATTTTTGTTTCTGTTTATCACATAATGTATTGTAAAGTTTATGGTTGTGCTGGTAATAAGAGAAAGGGCGTTAACTCTTGCATAACTTGTTATGTTCTAACATTGTTAGAAGTCTTTTGTGTTGAAATTGAGTTTGAGTAAATGAAAAACAGAAAAACAGAAGACAACTGTTTGTTGGGCTTTTCAACATTTTAGCTAATTCCCCGAAATATATATCAATATATAAGATTTTAAATAAACTTATACCATGTAATGCTTACCATCATGTCAGTTCCGGCGGGGATGAGGTGACCGCCAAGATTGTAGTCCCTGATTGTCCCGCGGAAGGTTGCCTTACCAACAGGATAAAGGCGGAGTGTTTCCTTCAACACCATATCCAGGTAAGATAGCTTCTCAATCTCATTCAGGCTGATCCCTGACACTGCACCCACGTTCTCATCAATTTCTCTTTGTAGCCTTATAAGTAACACCATACCGCATCAAATCAATTTAACTTATTTACATATTTTAATCGCCTATTATTTCTTCTGTCAATATAAAACTCTACCAGGTTGCGAAAAACATAAATGTCAATTAAGAGCGTGCATTCCCTGAATTGCAATATTATTGAATGTGTTGATGATTTTTGACTACATTTTTCTTGTTTATAAATGTTACCCTATAAAGTTTAATTTTAATGATTATAAGTTCTTACTTTTTGTAACATTCCGGGTTCTTGTCCTGTTCGATATTAATAAAGTTATATTTTATTGAAAGGAAGCTTCTTTTTATTCGTTTTAAATATAAAGAAAGTATATTTTATATATGATTGATAATCAATAAGGCCATAAATGACACTTTAACACAAACAATGCCTAGAAATTATCGTTATCATCTGAACACACAAGTTGCCAAAAAAGTCAAAAAAATAAATGTGAGACTTGATTATATTATATTTTATTTATGCATTTTATCTTATTTACCTCCCAATATGAATGTAAAGAAATTGTCCAATAGTATATCGTCCGTCATTACAGAAGGGTACTTTTCTGAAACAATACACAGACATATACTATGATAATATATTATATATAAATATAATTTCAATATTCATTTACCTCATAGTTTATTATTCATAAGATGATTTAGAAAATAAAACACATATATTCTGCATTTAAGGACAAAATTATGGAACACGGTAAATAGTGAATGTATAACATAATGCACATAATGTAATGTTTCTGTTTTCTTTACTGAAATCTGGTATATTTTACTTTCGATACAATGCTCTCGAAAAAGCCTGATTTTATGGAATTAGTCAAATGATCACGCAATATAACTTTTTTTATTCATTGTACAGTCGCTTGATCGACATATTCGCGATTATGTAATTGCCATGTTACAATTCTTCAAATCGATATTGATTTCAAACATTTATGTAACCAGTGGTATGTTAGTGAAAAAAAATCAATTTTTTTCAATTGTTTTTCTCTTTTTTTTTTAAATAAATACTACTGCTATTTAAGAAAGCTTTCAGGGTATTATAGCTATGTAATAACAACAGTTAGTTATCTAGTTTTTTTTCAAAATCATAAAATCGTATTTTTCCTCTGTAGGCTTTTATCTGCAGCTGAAGTTCAAAACCAAATAAACAGACAACTGATATTTTAAAACGTACTTGAAATTAGTTATAGTTATGCAATAAAACAGGATTTTCTCGCTTCCCGTAGTATAATTAAATAAGCTGGCCCGAACAGCTGGTCAGTAATAATGTGGTCTCGAAAAGGGGGTTCAAATATTTTGTTCGTGCTATAGGGATGTATTCAATAATGTATAATAGAGCTAGCATATAATACCATTACATAAAGTTTGATAAACGGAAAGGCAACAATGTGTCCCTCTGGGGCGTCTTTTTAAGTACAAGAATACTATATTTTATTATCACCTTTTAGTTCCATTATGTACTCCAAAAGATCATGGGGGAAATAGTCGCCGTTACTTTTTGCAACATTTCTATCGATCATCTCTTGTCTGGTCTTCCCTCTGATAAAATGTATTGCTTCCCGGACATCTCGACGAAATCTCCATTTGAACGGATTCACCTTGGTAAAAATATTATATGGTTATTAATTGGAACAAACACTTAAAAATTATAAGACATGTATACTGAGATCCCTAGGGACCTCTTCTCTGACATTGTAAGCCGCACATCTCACCTCATACTTACCTTATTAAATTCAGGTAATACTATATATATTATAAGTCAGTGTAAGCTGGTGTTTATAACCATTCAACTAAATCCACTGTAATTTGTGTTCAAGAAATGCATTTTATACATGAAATAAGCATTCAAATCAGCAAAGATAATAATATTTTGTCGTTGTTTGTAGTTTATTGATTTTTGTACGTACAGCTTCCAACGGGTTTGACAGGAGAGCTGCAAATTACAGCTAAAGCTTTTTATATTTTCGTCACAACAGGATGGTTTTCCCCATGTAATGATCCCATGTCGACGTTGAACGCTACCTGCAATAAAGTGAAATAAATAGATCATTTGATAGTATAAACAAAAATGTAGTTTACAAATTAAAAAAGAATTAATACATAAACATGGATGGAACTATGGTATCTTATGGAAATTAATTATGAGTTACATTTGTACATATTCTATACGTATTCACATACATGAAACAAGAAAGACATTATCTCGAGTTATTCAGATGCAAACTGTCGAATGAAGCTGAAAGAAGTTAAACAAATAGGTAAACATCGTAAAGTATTACCAGGAAATAGTATATCGTTGAAAAGGACGTTATTTACACATATAGCAACAAGCGAATTTCAAAAAGGTAGTCACAAAAGAACAAATGTTTTGAGAAGTGAGGGACTAAGCTTGGAAGGAGATGTAATACTAATATCAACAGGAGACGCGGACATCAGGACAGACGTTCAACAGAAAATAGGTTTTCGAGCAGAAGTTGATTCTTCACCATGTGAGGTCCTGAAATTACAAGCATATCTAGATGGAAGGACTAACGGTACCAGGGGGGAAGTATAGAGGAGGAATATGAAGAAGAAGTAACAGGAAAAGATAGAAGAATGTCAGCAACAAGTTTGGAGAGTATTTGTCTGCGAGTAGAGAACGGATACAGGAGTTTCCTTATTCTCAACTACAGTGGAGAGTATTGATGTTGTTGGGTGTGGTAGGAACTACACACAGGAGGCTGGTGAGAGCAGTGTACATACATGGAGATTCGGTGTCTAGTTGGAATTGGAAAGGGAAGAGACGTGGGGATAGTGTCACTAGCAACAGTAAGCGTCAGTCTCGAAATGTGACTTAGCAGGAAGAGGATCCTTTTACATCAATGCAGCAGGATGCTATTTCATACAGTAGCAGTAGCTAGGGCTTGTTCCTGAATTAACATGATCAACCCGTCATCATGATCAACTCACGACCATGATCAACAAATCATCATAATCAACCAAGAAGCTGCATTAAGAGGGGTAGCGCCGAAACGTTTAGTAAATTAGGACTAACTACCTAATAATAGGGCTTACCATTATTGAAATACTTCGATGTGTTCAAAGATTCACTTGAGGTCAAGGTCAACCACATTGAATTGTGATTGATTTATTTCTATGTTGGTTGTCGCTAGTTGTCACTAGTAGATAGATATATGTTTTATTACCCTTGTTCGGCGTGAACACTTATAGAACGACACTTTGACAATAATGAAATTAAAGCAAAGTATCCAACATTGCCTTGGTACGAAAGTGCATTAAAGAACAGTTCTGGATAAAGGTTGTAAATATTGCATTGACATGTTGGTGCACCTGAACATCATCATTCACCTATTTATAGGATATGAATAATTTAAGTGGGGTATTTACTTTTGCTTTATACGCTGTAACTTCATACCATGAAAATACAGATAGAAAAGACATGTAAAGATTTTTTACTGCCAAATATTGGAGAGTAAAACACCAATTCAATATCGTATATTACGTTATTTTGATAAAACACGTGTTAACTATATCCTGTTATACAAATACAAAACTACCCTCGTGAGTGCGATGTTTTACACGGCATTTTATCCCTGTTCATTAAACAACTATACAATTATTAAAACATAATGTGGTTTCAGACACTTTATGTGGTATTCATCTAAACGTCCTCTGTCCACGTATCAGTGGTAAACCTATAACATGTGTTGTTCTGCAAAGGGCATACACCTGCTATTCTGTTTGTTTATACTTCCAGTCCAAGCGTTCGTCTGTTAAATCAGATATCTCATTTACCCCATAGAATTTCTGTCTTTCGATGTTTTTTAATGTAAAATCAGTAGCTTACTTTGACATAAACCATTGGTCAAGGTGCATTGCAACTTTTCTATCGATCATCATTTGTTTTGCACTACCTCTGATGAAATTGATAGCTCCCCGTACTTCCCGGCGAAATCCCCATTTGAACGGATCCACCTGGAAAAAATATAACGTGGTAATTTGTCGAGTAAAAGACACACTCAAAGATAAATAAACATGTACACTCAGAGCATTTTTTTACTTTTTCTTGTCAAATGCCAATATGATTATCACCTCTTAATTACTTTAGTACAGTTAGATTCCAATTCATATTTTATCTTATATCTAAGTGTCAGTGCAATCAGTTGTGGTTTTCATTACCTATAAAGTGGATCCACTATACTCAGTGTCTTACATACGAAATAAAATTATTATGGATAGAACAGTAACATCGATTTTACAACATTGGTACATTTTCATTCATCATTTAGATTTTCTGGGGGCTGTGGCCAAGTGGTTACGACGTCTTACGTTGAGTAATTGCCAGGGTGTGGCACACACAAAACCAAAACCAAAAGTTTAAAGCTATCATTTACAGAAATAGAAATGAATATATGCTATTTTGAAACAATGGCACAATTGAGCGCAACAGAAAAATGTAAACATGCAAAAGAAAAATTTAGACCAGTTGCGTATATTATTATGAAATCACATTCATGTATATTAATTTATGTATAAAAAAAAAATATTCAAGCGGATTAAATGTTAAGTTTGCATGAGAAGACATCCTAAAGGTAGTGAAATAAACAAATAATTGAAACAAAACCGGAGCGCCGCCTTATAGGACGAACTCCTTAGCGTTTATTGAGATTTACGAAATATATACGTTCAACTACCAAAGGGTTTGCCAGGAGAGCCGAAAATCCTGACATAGCTGTCTTCATTTTTGTAACAAAGGGATGGTTCTTGCCATGTAGAGGTCCCATATCTACACTGAATGCTACCTGCAAAAAAGTGTCAGATCACATGATAAGATAATTAAATGAAAGTTGTAATCAACTTAAAAAATATAATTGTATTACGCATCGATTGCATGAAAATCTCTATCTAAAACTAAATTAACTGTACAAATTAAGAACATATTTTTGTGTTTCTAGTGATTGCTAATTAAACAGGTGTTAACAAAACTCAACCTTGTGCAACAAACGATAATGTGCACTACTCATACACAAACCTTGTACAACAGACCAAAATGTGCCCTACTCATACAGAAATGAGGTAAAAAGATGATAATATACACTACTTATACACAAACTAGGTAAAACAAACGATACTTTACACTACTCATATACAACGCTTGGACGACAATCGATAGTATACCATACCCTTAGATTAACCTTGTACAACAGACGATAACATACCTTACTCTTCAATAAACATTGTGTATTAGACGATACTATACACTTATCCTTATACAATAGCTAATGGCATATACTTATCCCCGACAAACTAACAAATAATATTCGCAGTACTTGCAAACAAACCCCTAAAACAATATGATAATAAAGCCAAGACAGATTTGTGGAACAAATGCCATCCTCTGCTTCCAAATAAACTTTTAACAACAGCCAATGACATATTCTACCTCCAAACAAGCCTTGTTTGTATAACAAAGAATCAACCCTTCATTCATACAAACCTTATACAACAGATGCATCGTCAGTTTGTTAAACGAATGCAGTAAGTGTATTTCCGTCTTGCCGTCCGCAGAGGTTTCCAAGTATTTTGTGTAACTATCGGCAAACACATTGAATTCGGATGCAAACTGCCGAATGTAGCTGGAAGAGGTTATACATATCAATAATTTGGATAAAGTATTGCTAGGAAAACGTTTGCTTATATCGTTTAAAAAGATCCAAGAGGAACCACTTTCCTTACGATGAATCTGAATGAAATAGTGCAGGAGATATTATCTGAAAACTCAAATAAATGAAGTATTCTGTTTTTGTCAACGAAGAGATAACAGTAACAAGCTTTAACAATCATAATATGAACAGCTGCCTGCGCCAATCTTTGAAATCCCTCGATGAAAACAGCGATCAATTTTCAACAGTCGAAAAACAAAATGACTGCTGGCAGCCATTCAAAAATTTGATCTTGCTTAAAATGTGGCATGCACAATAAGTCATATATTGATCATATCAAGTAAATTTCATAAAGGTTCATCCAGTTGTTTCTGAGATGTGTCGGTAAACAACTTCAAATGTAACCATACAAATTGGCTGCCGGCAGTAATTCTGAAATCCAATCAAGCCGAAAATGTGACATGTGCCATACTGAATATGTCATGAAAGCTTCATGAATATTTCTTTCATACTTTCTTACTTAATATAGAGTGTATACTTTTTGTTATCTCAGTTACTATACATACGTTACCCAATCTGGATGATTTATAGTGCTGCAATGTGTATAAATATGCTATTCTGCAGGTATGCTATCTCAGTCCTTCCGTCGTCCATTCAATCATATATATCTATATCCATCATAATCATCTTTCCCTTTGTGTTAACTGATGTTAAATCAATAACTTACCTCGGTTTAAACCATTGGTCAAAATGTATTCGCTGCATTATCCAATGCTTGCTATCAAGCTGCGTTTCCAATCCTTGGCCAATAAACCTGAAAAAGGTTCAGTTTGTAGCAGTACCTTACTTTTGACAGGAAGTTCTAGACATTTTTTGCTGGATAGTAAATCACTTGATTTGTATATAAAACATTTATGCATTGAATTATCGAGTATTATACCAGGTTTTATGACGTTTTATATCTTGTTGTCGCGACAAATTTTACAAAAAAAATTAAAAAAAAAAATAAAAAAAAAAAAAAAAAACGGGAGAAATCTGTAAACAACTGGATTACCTTGTACCAAATACGCTTGTTAATCTAGAATAAAAACGTTTTGATTTTTGGTGATTTCCAGTTACAAGAACATCCTGAAATGAAACAAAGATTTTACTAGAATAACAACAATTCAATTCATGACGGTGTATCAACCTAAAACATTCTTTGATTGACCTTTATTCCTACTCTTTTGGAAACGAAATGTCAACCATTTCAATATAACATAAACCGCAGTTCAGGAAAACATTTTACTGCACACTCCTTATGACCATGGAAAACAGTTTTAAAAATGTTAATGAAAACTTATATAATCTGTAAAAGCAAGCGATAGGTTTGTGTGATATGAAATATAATGAGTTTTACCTTAATGCATTCTGGATCTAAAACAAAGACAGCAACTTGATTCCAGAAACATAGACGAAATACCAGCCCGTAAGTTTTGGAACTGAAATTCAATATGTAAGTTTAAACATAATCATTTTAAGAACACTGCATAGATATAATTTCTTATTTTCTTGTCACAGACAAAATAAGACTAAATATAATTATCTCATAGTAATGGCCTTAAAATATGGAACAGCCAATAAAACAGAGTTTTATTTGTGTAAGACGATGTAAAAATTAGACATTCTAAACGTTATAAATATTTTTTTTTTAAATATTAAGATAATATAATATATTGTAAGTAATAAGGAAGATATAGTAAAAAGGTTGCATAATACCAAAACAGTTTAAATTATGAAGTCGTAGGGTCGTCGTGAATTTAGAACTTGCTTTAACTCGACAATGAACACTTATTATTACCAGTGTTATTCATATAAACCAATAATAGTTTCTCTTTCCCACCGACACTAGCTCTTACACGCACAATATAACATATCCAAACTCACAAAACCAGACTCATTCTCAATGACAAAACAACACATATTCGTAATAGCAAAAACAAACGCATTCAGAATAAAACAACCCATATTCGTAATCACAAAAACAGCACATCAACAATCACACACCTTGCACATCCAAAATCACGAAACCAAACACGTCTAAAAAACAAACCTGAACACAGCTACAAACTCAAAAATAAACGCGTCCATGATCACAATTACAAACAAGTATACAACCACGAAAACCAAGCACAACCACAATCACAAACAAAAAACGAAACAAACAAAAAACAAGCACAAAATTCCAACACAACCACAATCACAAAAAAAAAAAAAACCATCAACAACATTGTTTATATATTAACTACACATACTTATTATAATTCATCATCAATTGAAATAAGGTTATTTTCTAAGTATTCCTTCATATATAATTGATTTACTTACATTTCTACTAAGTAGTCATCCATGATTCCACTGGCAGCTTTTACCTTTTCGATAGATGGAATGTGTCCTTTCCAGAAGCTTTAAGAGATATAAGCATTGTTTAGTATTTAAATCGTCCTAAAATTTCTAACGTGAGCTTTCTTTGAGGATTTACTTATAACTGGTAACAAGAACATGGATTGTTTATTCAATTGTTAAAATACTGTCAAACTGTGACGTTACCTGCAAACATTCAATTTTTCAGTGTGAACAAACTTAAGCAAAAGATCTAAAAGGTTTATTTAAGGTTTAAAATGCATCTTTTTAACATTTATGAGATAATGCAACACAGTTTCGTTCAAACATATTCCATGATGCGTGTTGCATACCCTCATAAATGTTTAAAAGATGCATTTCAAGCCTTATATTTACGTTCTATTACACTCACTTCCATTATTTGAAATTAAGAAAACAATAATTTTTCCAAGTAAAAAAGCAATAAAAAGTTCTGAAAATAGCATTAATTGAACAGCCTTTTTCGAGGGAAAGATGATGCTTTGTCAATGGTGACGAAATACACAGTTGCGTAATAAACAAATCGTTCCAATTTGCTTATTCTTAATCATTTGATTTACATACCAACATGTTAAACAAGCATTGATTATCTTAAAAATTGACGGTATACCTTAATTCGAAACAAAAATACCCTGTATGATATTTTAGTTACAAAACGTCAGTCCGTGTTCGCGATGGTAGCTGACCGATAAACACCGGTCGTGCAGCGGCTAAGCTCATCAAGCCACGATGCGGTTTGAGTATGGAGTTTCATAAGAAACCAAATGACGATTTAAAAGACGTTGTTTTATGAATGATTGTGTCAACTGACTGCGACAACAGGACTAGCTCATTGTTGCTGAGGGGACTGACCGACATGCGGGGATGGACGCTAGTGTGGGGGACAGCGAATTTATTATATTCTGTTGAAAACGACCTGTTATAGGATATAATAGCAGACTCACTTCGGTGGCCCGAAATAAACATGATGTGCCTTGATTCAAAACCCTAATCATGCATCGCCTGTATATCAGTGAATACTTATATTTCTACTGAACTTGGACTTGGAATAGATTGTTGTTTTTTGTCAAAAGCTTTTAGTTGAATTAAAGAGAACTAATATACATCTTCATTTGATTTTTCGTTTTAATCAATGAAAACAACTTAAACAACGTATTCATCTAATAAGGACGACGTCTTGCAGCTAGTGTTAACACCATAAGCTTCGGTACCTTCTGTGGCGTTAGACAGGCACAATACCTCAATTGGTCTTGAGACAAATTCAATATAAACTCTCATGGAATTTGTCTCAAGACCCATTGAGGTTTACACCCAATAAACCTCATCAAAACAGGATTATATCCTTAAATCAAAACGCAGTGTAAGATTTTATTTATGTTGTATATTCACCGGGAAATAAAGATTGGACGAGAAAAGAATATACAGTAATCATATATATGTTTTATGAGTGTGTTTTGTCACAAATAGGTCTCAAAACTTCATCAAAATATTAGCAGATGCAACTAACCAGGTCAACGAGCTTGAAGTTTTCGATTGAGTTTTCTCCCTCAGACCTCTGTTCCTATTAATGTCAATGTGAGAAATCACATTCTAAAAATAACACAACTCAAGCACACAAAAAAATCTATCGTTGTTCAAACCGAATGCAAACACAAAATTGTCCTAAAAATAACGGCCACCTTAATTGTTGTGATGGAGTCGATTCATTGTAAATCTATCTCAGCGTCTTAAGATGACGTTCAGCAAGTTTTACAATCGTCATAAGGAGAAGAACTCGAACTATGATATATTGGTTTCTCCGAATTTTCTATCGTCTTTCATGTTAATGGTTATTCATCGCCGATGGTATGACAGATAGCATGTGGTGAGAGACAAAACGATTACACCACGGGTAAAAGAACACCAGAGGACATAAACAGATTTTGACGAGGGACCAGAATAAAAATACAGATTACAAATGATAACCGTTGTTTTCAAACACAACGTCATTGATAGGATGGCACAAAAGAATCATCCCCTCCGTTGAAGGTTTTCCAAGGAAATGTTACTGCCGGGTGAAGTTCCTGCATATTTAACCCTCACCTTGAAGACCATCGAGTTTCTGTCCTACAGTTACTGGACGGATACATTTTATCATTTTACAAATTTTAAGTTTTGTACTTCGTTATTGATTGTTGGCGATTAACGTAATTTCTAAGTTAACGGAATAATAAGAGTGCTACGTATATTGCAAGAAACGCCCCAATTCACATACGATATTTCGTATGGTTCAACTGCTTCCCTTTCTAGAGAAATTCATTTAACTTTTGTCTTAGATAAAAAGTAGCTTGATTTGTCTCGAGATCATCCTAAGAGAATGAATAAAATATTAATCGATCCTTATATTTCGGTTGAGCCACTAGTAAATTACTGGAACGTGTAAGTCTGTCATAAACAACTAGATCTATTGCAGTGAGTATTCAAATATATAGATAGTAATCGAAAGTTCGTTGCCTGAGTATACGTGAAAAAAAGGTATCGCTCTAAATAAAGCATATTCACTGCACAAAAGGCCTAGAATGTTGTACATTTTATATTGTCAATAATGATTAAAAACATATAAGCACCAAAACATTCTACTGTTTAGGCAGATAAATACAGTATACATATATATGAAACAGTTTTGACCTATATTTATGACAGATCATATCCACCCCTTTTACAATTCTTACCTGTCCCGGGGTGGCCCGGGTAGATGATCATACTTTTGATGTTGTCGATGAATAATCCATGCTACAGAGACGAGAATACAAAGACATACAGCGATTACAATCCCTAAGAATTCCACCAAAAGCAGACTCATGTTTGATGTGTTTATCCTTGATGTATGTTCACAGTCAGCGACACAAACACATATGTTCTCGACACTTTGACACAGTTACGTAGCCTTCTAGTCTCGTTCAACCAGACTCTTGTTGTCTGCTCAAGCTACGCAAAACAGAGTATCTGGTCAATCCCAGTGCTATAGTTTTATGAAGTTATCACAGATATGTGGTAAATGATGTCATTGGTCAAAGGTAGACACACCCTTTCCAACTTTTGAAGTAATAATTCATGAAGCTAACAAGGCTATTGATATAAGTCAAGCCAGATTACCTGAGTGAGAACTTTTAGTGTTTTGATTTGTGTACAGGTCAAATCTCACTTGCTTTGCAATCTTTTTTTTCCAACCTCAGTCAGCCCTGCTGGCTTTGTGCTCAGTTATGATATATTCAGTTGTAATTTATGGAGATTTGACACATTTTCTACACAGATACAAGAATGTATAGTCAGGTACGTTTTTTTTCATTAATTTCTTTATTCTTTTAAATGTTTTAATGGCGTTGACATAAAGTCCGGAGAGGAAAGTAAAAACACTGCCCTCTGATGATGGTAATTTTAAAGTACTATATTTGACCAGACTCTTGAATTACAAGTGATCAAGCGTCTGGTTGAACGAGACCACGTAGCCTTCGCGATTATGTTATAATTTTCTATTACGGAAGCGCCTACAGGCCAGATAAATTATATCCTGAATCGCCGCAGCATTTGAATGACTCCAAGATATATTTTGACAAAACGATATTATATTTTTTCTCATTTGATTACACGAACAATTCCGAATTTCTCTGTATACATGCATATGATTTTTGAGAATGAGAGATAGAGAGAGAAACAGAGGCAATGACAAAAAGAAAGACATGTAACAAAAGTCTCGAAATTATTGTCGTGGAAATGGAAAGCTAGATTAATTTCAACTGCTGTAGGCATTAGTTTGAGAAAAACGTATATTAAATAAAATGGCATCGCTTAAGTTCATTCGAGCAAGCTGGAAACAGAGGCTCTCTGATAGCAAACTAGTGTTAATATAGGCTCTCTCATAGCAAACCAATGTCAATATAGGCTCTCTTGTAGCAAACTGGTGTTATTATAGCCTCCCTGGTAGAAAACCAGAGTTAATATAGTCTCTCTTGAAGCAAATCAGTGTTAATATAGGCTCTCTTGTAGTAAATCAGTGTAAATATAGGCTCTCTGTTAGCAAATCAGTGTTAATATAGGCTCTCTGGTAGCAAACCAGTGTTAATATAGGCTCCCTTGTAGCAAATCAGTGTTGATATAGGCTCTCTGGTAGCAAATCAGTGTTAATATAGGCTCTCTGGTAGAAAACCAGAGTTAATATAGGCTCTCTTGTAGCAAATCAGTGTTAATATGGGCTCTCTGGTAACAAATCAGTGCTAATATAGGCTCTCTGGTAGCAAATCAGTGTTAATATAGGCTCTCCCGTAGCAAATCAGTGTTAATATAGGCTCTCTGGTGGCAAATCAGTGTTAATATAGGCTCTCTGTTAGAAAACCAGAGTTAATATAGGCTCTCTGGTGGCAAATCAGTGTTAATATAGGCTCTCTGGTGGCAAATCAGTGTTAATATGGGCTCTCTGGTAACAAATCAGTGTTAATATAGGCTCTA